ATTAAAAAAGAAATAAAAACATAATTATTAGATTTTCTAAATTAATATAAAAAAATGTAAATTATTCTAAGAACATAAAAGAACACTTATATGTTGTTTCAAAAGGAAAAAAAATATTACGTAAAAAGAACATACTTCATATAATTTAAAACCTAAGAAACATTTAAAATCTACATATACAATAAAGAATATAATTGGTAATGTAAGGAAAATATTATTCAAACTAAAAGAACATATATTAATCCAACTCAAAAGTACATATTTCATTCCATTTAAAAAGATAAATATGGATCAAACAAATAAAAGAACCTTCATTATAGTTTGAAGAGCATCATCTTCGCCCTTTGAAAATAACACAAATTTACAAAAAAAAAAATGCAAATACTAAATATTATTGAAAACTAGATACTTTCAATAACGAATTTGTTAACCATAATCAATGAACAAATATAAATAATCATCAAAAAACCATAAAAATAATGAAATTAAAATTAAAAAAATAATAATAATCTAAATACCTTTTAATTGGGTCGTCATCATGAATTCCTCATGAATCTCACCTTTATTCTCAAAAACATCATTCTTATATACATTAAGAAGAGATATTCAATCATAATTGTGGTGAAATTCACCACGCACTATCATTTTTCTCTATGTAAATTTCTCTCTGGATCTAATTTGAGTGAATTAGGTTCTTATGTGTAATTTATTCTTGACTTTCTTCTGATTTCGAATGCAATTGTGAGTTGTATGCTGAATTTTATCTAATGAATTTGCGCGTTTGTCTATTATAATAGTTTTAATATATGAGAATTTTATCTAATTAAATTTGGGGATTTTGAGTATTTATAATCTATATGCATCAGTATGTAATTCATTAGTTAAATCTGAATGTACTTGTGTGTGATTTATATTTCTAAAAATTAGTGGAATTTTATCATCACGTGGCTGAATTGTTGACTGTTAGAGGTTGAATTGGTGATGTTGTAGTCGGTCTTTGGTGACGAATTGGTGAAGCAATTGGTGGCTGCGCTATGTGGGTGTCTAATAGAGTTGTGGCTGCTGATGTTGCGGTTTGACTGTTGTGGTGGTTATTGCGATAGCTGGTCATGTGACTTGGCGGAGGTTGGTTGTGGATTTGGAGGGTATGAGGTGGATGAACCACATAGATGGCTAGGCGAATTAAGGTGGCTGGTGGTTGTTGTGGGAAAGCGTAGCTACTTTGTGTTGTTGGGTTGTGCTGAAGTAGGTGAGTGGGGGTGAATACTTGCAGGTTGCAGTAGAGTTACAAGGTTGTTATTGTTGCTTGTTGGTGTTATGTAAGTTAGCTGATGGTGGAGTGAAGGCTTAGGTTGTTAGGGGCAAGAACAAAGGAGGGGGGCAACAACCTTGTGATGTAAAAGAGCATATGATAGTGGTTTCGCTCAAAATATTATTGTATATAATGACCTTAACATCATGAAAATGTTGTCAAAATTTGATATAGTTACCTTATTTTTGTATACAATGACCTTAGCATCATAAAAATGTTGTAAAATTTGTTTCAATAACCTTATTTTTGTATATAGCGATCTTTTTGGAAATGTTGTTAAAATTGATGTAGTTACCTTATTTTTATATATAGTAACCTTTATTTTTGTATATAGTGATCTTTATGCAAATGGTGTCAAAAAACTCTAAGTCGATATAGTTACCTTATTTCTGTAAATGGTGACCTTTATGTAAATGTTATTAAAATTGATATAATTACCTTATTTTTGTATATAATGACCTTTGTGTAAATATCATCAAAATTGATATAGTTACGTTATTTTAGGAAAAATTTAACATTTGCTATCGGCGAAAGCACCTTGTTTCACATTTACTACCGGTTTTTTTTTTAATTTTATTTTACTACCACCCAAAATCCAAAGCTATAAATATCACTACCTTTAGCCTTGTGTCGTTACCATTTTCGTTAGTGGGGCCTAACCATCGTCCAACCACCTCACTGCCATCTTTCAGCCACCGCTCCATCTTAACCACCCTCATTGCCACCATCCAACCTCCGTTTCCTCATCAATGTCGGCGCGTAAATGATCCTCCGGCGCCGGCGACCTCACCCATCCATTTCCCCTATCAACGTTGCCCCAAAACCACCATGACCAACTTCTTACCATTTTGGAGCTTGGTCATTATTTCTAATCTGCTCTTCAGATAATTTCACTTCTTCAGCCTCAAATTGCAACACTTCCAATCTTCAAACAACATCTTAAACATCATTACCTTCCTTACTCAACTCACACCCTTCATTCTTGTTTTCATCAACTCCATAATTTCTCTCTCCTACCTCAATTTCTCTCTCATCCAACCATTTCCCACCTTGAACCACCCTAGAAATGGACCCACCCACTTCAGATTTCTACCCCGAATTGAACCCGCCCACCTCAAATTCCGACTAAAGACCCGATTCTTTGACAGCAAAAACCCGATTTTTAGACACCCAATTGAATTTAATACCATTAGATAGCCAGAAATTTGATGTAGAAGGGGTATATCAGCTTGTTTTTTGGGGTTTTCGCTTAAGGGAATTACAGTGCAATCATCTTTTTCTCGGTAGCGTTGCGAGTTATTCTGCTTCTTATTTCCCCTTTCCCCAAAACGACGTCTTTCCCCCAACTAGAAACGGCCTATATCCCCTTTCCCCAACCTTAATCGACCCCCCTCCCCTTCCCCCACTCAAAAACCAACACCAACGGGTTTTAGGGTTTCGAATTCACACGTTTAAGGTGGTTTCGGGCAGCATGGACTTTGGGAAATGGTGGTAGTGGAGTTCGTCGGTGTCGGGGGACCGTTTAGGCGTCGGCACGAACGATTAAAGCCAGCCCATGAAGGGAGATGGTGGCTGGGAGTTTAAAAAAAAAACAATTTTTTTTTTAAATTTTTTTTAATAAATTAAATTATTATCTAATGAAATAATGGGTCCCACTTAACGGAATCCTAACAGATTCCGTTAAGTGGTAGTGATATCTATAACTTTGGGTTTTTGGTGTGTAGACACCCAAATGTGTCTCCCCAAAACCAAACCTAGTGATGAATATCTTTCACGACATTTAATTATCAAACGAAGTGAAAGTGTGAAAATTCTGGTGATGCGGTTGTTTTTATTAAAATATCTCTCTTTCTGTATTTGAAAATGTGCTTTATTTATGAATATAACCAGTCCAATTTAGTTTGGTCCATGATAAGGGCCCAATAATAGTGTAGTTGGATTGGGCTCGAAAAGAGATTTCCAACGATATATTATAAGCCCAATTCCGATGAATAATGAGGAAGTTGTATATGGCCAAAATACTAAATTGGGTCCAAAATGAATTTTATATGCAGCCCAATGAGCTAGAGGAGTGCCTATTAATTATTATTCCTAATTTTATTAGGATTGATTTTAATCTTATAGAATAATCTAGAAGGTTCTTTTAATTCTAATGGAATTAGGATTAATAATTATTATTTTAAAGAGTTTTATTTGGAATAAAATAAGTGTTTTATGATAAATCTGATCTTAAAATTGTTTAACGCGGATTCTAATTGCTTAATCATATTAAGAAAAGGATTACGTACAAAGCGCACTTTATCTATTTTTTAATTAGCACCGGACGACAGAGTCTGTCGCCTGGCGCTGGTGCCTGTCGTCTAGCGACAGGTGCCAGTTTTATTCTGTATAGAACTTGAAGTATTTTCTATCGTTTCAGACTATTTTTTCTATAAATAGGGTCCTTGACCCCCGTTTTTATTCATTCACAATCAACAATCATCTAATTCTATTATCTTCTCTCTAAAAGCTTAGAAGCTTATTTTCTCTCTATTCTTTTTCTAAACCTTTCCTTCACACAAAATTCCGCATTCATTAGTTCGTTCTAGGCACACCTAGCCAATTTTGAAGTTGTCTTAGCCCTAAACGTGAAAGGTTGATAATTTTTTAGGGTTTAGTCCTAAATCTCTATTTCAATTATTTAATTTAATTGTCTGATTTATTATTTTCCTTGAAGTTACTAACGCGTATATTTTGTCATGCTTTATATTATTATTTTAATTCCTAGTATCATGTTAGGATGTCTTTATAATTCCTAGTATCATATTTAGGGTATTAAATAATATTTCTAATATCATATATGTTTCTAGTATCATGCTTAGGTTGCTTTCTATTTCTAATATTATGTTAGTATCATGTTAGGATTAAAGCTTTGATCTTTAATGCTTAATGACATGCTAGGGTTTGTTATTAATCTTGTTAATATATGTCTAAGATCTTGCTAATATTATTATGCTTTATTGAGAATATTATTAATATGATGATGATTATTTGTTATCATGTTGCTTAATATTATTGTTGTTATTGCTTGATCACGTCTTTTATGCATGTTTAAAGGAAATTTGTACTAGTAATCACTCTTAATAAGATAATTAATAATCTTGTTTAGGCTAATATGATTATAATTCAAGTGATCGCCAATAATAGATTTGCTTGTGCATTAATATTCAACCAACATAGATTAAACATGTTTAGGGTTAATATATTGATTGTATGTTAGTCAGAAATCGCACATGAATATGAGAAAAATAAAGTAAAGGCCTATTTTTAAGACAGGTTCAATATCTTTTAGGTTGGATTTGTACCTTCACTACTACAAAAAAGGCCAAAGAGACCCGTCCAAAAAGGCCAAAGAGACTGCTTTAGAGACGGCTTCTAGCTACACGGCCTCTTTGGCAAAGTAAATGCTTTGATAGAAGCGGTCTCTAGAACAAAAAAATTAAGACTGCTTATTATTGAAAGGCGATCTCTAGAATGGTGTTAGGCAGTCTCTTTTTTCGGAAAACTGAGACCGCCTATTGAACTTAGGCAGTCTCTAATTTTGTAAAACAGAGATCGCTTATCTGACTTCACAGGTCTCTTGGTGTCATAAAAAAATTAAAAAAAATTATTTAATTGTTGAAACGTAAATTAAAATTACATTTCATCAAAATAAATAATTGATTTTTATACATGTAAAATTATCATCTTAATTTTATACCTGATACAGAGTACAAACTTATACAAAACCCGTAATTATTAAAAAAAAAATCCTTAATCCTCTTCATCGTGAATTTTAACAAGTCATTCGTGTAGATCTTTGTCTTTAGCTTCGAATATGAAGCGGTCAAAATGATTTCTGCAATTAACTTAACATATATGAATTAGCTTTACCCAAAAAAACTGTACATATATAACTACATCGTGCAATCCAAATCCAGATTTACTTAAGCAAATTCAAAAGTCCAAAATTTCAGAATCAAACACAAAACCCAGATTTTAAATGACGGAGTACCCTAAAAAAAAACTACTCTTTATATCCCAATTGAATTGCTAATTATATCATTGAAAAAACTTGCAGAAAATGAAAGAAAAAGCATAACTAAACAAAAAAAAAAATTACAACAAATTCACTGAAATTAATCCTCTTTAACTAATGAAATAAATTGTGAAATGAGATCCAAATTTCACTTTCTATATACTCTTCCATGTGGTAGTTTGCTCAAAGTGAAAATGGAGTTTGCTTAAAAAATTAATCTCCAAAATTTAAAACCAATTCACCAAATAACTTACAGAAACAAAATTCAGAAAAATTACCCAAAATATCAAATCAAAAATCAACTCATTCAAAAAATAATTAAAGGGAAAGAAAAGATTTGAAAGTTTGCTCAAAGTGAAAATGGATTTTGCTTACAAAATTAATCTAAATTACCCAAATATTAAAGGGAAAGAAAAGATGAAGAGGGGAGAGAGAAAGACAAACCTTTGAACCAAAAGAGAATGTACCGATTCTTTGAAGCAGGGGAATGACAAGCTGGCGATGCTGCGTGCATGTGATAAGTGGTGATGAGTGTGCGGCGGCGAAGATGTTTGCGGTATTAGGGCTAAGATGAGGATAGAGAATGGGTGAAGAAGTGTGAGTGTGAGTAATGGAAGTGCAAAGGGGGGAGATGGTTGCGGAAGAGAAGGAATAAGAAGCTAAGGTTGGAGGCTGGAAGCAAGGTAGGGTTTCGTTTTCAAGGAGGAGAGAGATAAAAAAATTCTATAAAGGAGTGGGTTGGGCCGTTGGGGTAAAGGAAATTAAAGAGAAAATGATAAAGAAAAAAAATTGTAGCGTGAAAAGCTGGAAAAAAAAAAGCAAGAGACCGCCTAACTTGAATAGGCGGTCTAAGGTGTTCGGTCTAGAGACCGATTTTTTAAGAACACATGTCTCTCCATTTTTATATAAAAAAATAATAAAAATTAAGAGAGACCGGTTATCTTTCATAAAGGGTCTTTATTAAGTTTCAAGAGACCCGTTATTTGTGATATTGGGTCTCTTTAAACAAAGATACCCGTTATTGAAATAAACAGTCTCTTATCTTGGGTCTCTTTGGCCATTTTTGTAGTAGTGCTTCATCCTCGAATATCCAGTCATGGTTCCAGACCACTATGGAGTTAGCGATCTCATGGATCGTGAAGGGATGTAACTTTCACCCCGTGAACGGTTTACAAGTTCCCAAAACTTGTTAGCGACTCTTTTACTCTAGCTTCCTTCCCTTTAGACGCCACCATGCTTAAGTGTATGATCACTGTGGGGCTCAAGTGTGAGATACTTTAAATATTCCCTACAGGGTGGTAGTAAAATAAAATAAAAAATTAAACCAGTAGTAAATGTGAAGCAAGGTGCTTTCGTTGGTAGCAAATGTCAAATTTTCCTTATTTTTATGTATAGTGACTCTATGTAAATTTCGTCAATTTAGATAAAGTTACCTTAATTTAGTATGTAGTGACCTTTAAAAAGTTTAATTGATTATATGTAAGGTTGGAAAGATCTTAGGGCTTTTGAACCGTATGATCTTTTGTGCTAATATAATGAATGGTTGGGATTTGTTGTTTTCAGCATGAGGCTTGTTTTCAGCGGAATATATATATATATATATATATATATATATATATATATATATATATATGTACATATATGTATATATGTACATATATGTATATATGTACATATATGTATATACACATATATACACATATATATGTATACATATATACATATATGTATATGTATATATACCATGGTGAACCGTGTCGCCCGCCATGCCCATGCCTATTTTTAAAAAGTTTGTTCACGGCACGCCCCACACCTGGGCCGCCATGCCGAGCCGTGCCGCTGGTGGACTCGTGCCGGGCTCGTGTCGCCCGCGTGCCAGCACGCCCCATGCCCACCTTTAACTTTACTCATAAAATGAACTCTCTTATTTATAGAGAACACTCACTCATAAAATAGGATTTTAGTCACAAAGATAAACATTAAAAGTTAGGATAAATTATACTGTGTTTATTCCTTTTAACAAATACCGAGTTAAAATGATTCATCGTAGAAAATCATTAGCAAAATCCGTAACAAAGATAAAGTTTAGAAAAAAGATAAGTAAATAAAAACACAAAGTCTTATATGTGGCTGGCCATATCGTATGGCTAGTCACTACAGGGGTCACTTCGCTAATGTATAGTAATGGGGGTTACTTGGTCAATGTTTAAGGCGTTACTTCGTCATTGTTATAGAGTTACTAGGTCAGTGTTATAGGGGTTTCTCGGTCGGTATTATTGGGTTACTTAATCAATGTATAGGGGTTACTTTAAGTGGCCACACGGTGTGACGGGCAGCAACAAGACGGACTGAATAAAAATAAAAAAAAAATTGTATGTGGCTGACCACAATTTTTATTATTATTTTTTTATATTATTAAATACCACTACTCTTCTCTCTCCTCTTTTCTTAGCTTCTTCTCCAAGCCAAACCACACATCACCAACAACCATATCTCTACTCTACCCATTTTCTCTCTCCTCTTTTCTTTAGCTTCTTCTTCAAGCCAAACCACACATCACCAACAACCATATCTCTAGTCCACCCATTTTCTCTCTCTTCTTTGCCAAATTGTTGCAATTAAAGCCCGAAATTGTAGAAATTGGGTGTTAAATTCTTGTGGAAAATTGTGATTAATCATCCTGAAGTTCATATACAACATTTGAAATAGTGAATCGATGAGAACCAAAGAAATTTGTGCTCATTTTTTTTGTGGAATCTTAGGTCGAACATTCTACGTCAAAAATTGTAGGGTGTTACTGGTTTGGTCAGGGGTTGCATGTAGGGTGTTACTGGTTTGGTCAGGGGTTACTTATACGATGTTACTTGTTTTGATCAAGGGTTACTTGTAGGGTGTTACTAATTAGGTCAGGGGTTACTTGTAGGGTGTTATTGGTTTCGGTCGAGGGTTACTTGTAGGGTTTTACTGGTTTGGTATGGGCCTACAAGCAACCCTTGAATAAGTAACTAATAACCACTGAAAAAGTAATTCAAATAAGTAACCTTTGAAGTAACTCATATAAGTAACCCCTGAATAAGTAACTCATACAAGCAACCCTTGAATAAGTAACTCATACAATTAACCTTGAATTAACATATACAAGTAATCCCTGGAAAAAAAAAATACAAGTAACCCCTGAAAAAAAATACAAGTAATTCTTGAAAAAAAATACAAGTAACCCCTTGTAGGGAATATTTCAAGCATTACCCCAAACTTGAGCCCCACTGTGATCATACACTTAAGCATGGTGGCGTCCAAAGGGAAGGAAGCTAGAGCAAAAGAGTCGCCAACAAGTTTTAGGAACTTGTAAATCGTTCACAAGGTGAAGGTTACACCCCTTAACGACCCAAGATATCGTTAACTCCAATAGGTCTGGAACCAAGACTGGAAGTTCAGGGATGAAGGTACAAATTCAATCTAAAAGAGAAAGAACTCGCCCTAATAATAGGCCTCTACTTTATTCTTCTCGTATTCATGTGCGCTTTCTGACTAACATGCAATCAATAGGTTTACCCTAAAACTGTTTATCTATGTTGGTTGAATATTAATGCACAAACAAAACTATTATTGGTGATCACTTGAATTATAATCAAATTAACCCAAACCAGATTATTAATTATCTTATTAAGCGTGATTACAAACACCAAAATCCCTTTAAACATGCATAAAAGTGGTGATCAAGCAATAATAATAAAAGCATATCAAGAAACATAATAATAATAATAATAATAATAATAATAATAATAATAATAATAATAATAATAATAATAATAATAACAATCATAATCATAATCATAATCATAATCATGTTAAAGAATAATAATAGCAAGATCATAGGCATGATACTAACAAGATTAATAACAAACCCTAGCATGTCACTAAAGAATAAATATCAAAGTTTTAGCCCTAACATGATACTAACATGCTATTAGGAAAGAAAATAGGAAGCATCACAGAAATCATAATTGATATAATTAAGAAACTTATTGTTACCCTAAACATCATACTAAGAAAAGTATCCTAACATGATACTAGGAATCAAAATAACAACCTAAAGATGATTTCTGTATCATATCAATAAAAACAATTAAAGCACTTACTTGGATGTCTCTACCTCTTTCTAATGAAAAATTACACGCGTTAGTAAACTTCAAGGAAAAATATAAATCAAAACAATTAAATAAAATAAAATAATTGAAAGAGAGATTTGGGACCAAACCCTTAGAAATATCAAACCTTTTACGTCTAGGGCGAAGGCAATTTCGAACTTGACTAGGTGTGTCTAGTGCTTGTGAATGCGGAATTTTGTTTGTAAAAAGTTGGTTTACAAAAAGAGAGAGAGAATATCAAGAATTTCTTGATGAGAGTTGGTGAGAATTAATGAAGGTCTAAGGACGATATTTATAATGAAAACAGTCCGGATTTGATAAAAACGAATCAGAGTTCGAAAAGGAATAAAACACGCCTCTGTCGCCGCAACAGCCCTTGTACTCTGTCGCCGCCGACAGGGTATGTCGCTAGGCGACTGCCTGGCGTTCGGCGCTGCAGGAGATTTTTCCACACGTTTTCTATTGTTTCATAATATTAAATCGTAAAACTCCGTATGAGGGGTAAAATCGTAATTTCACTTAAAACACTTCTTTTATTCCAAATAAAACTCATAAAACTTAATTATCAATCCTAATCCCATTAGGATTTAAAAGAACCTTCTAGAAGATTCTAAAAAAATATAATTGATCCTAATTGCATTAGGAATGATCATTCATAATAGGCCCTTCTCTAGATCATTGGGCCGCATATAAAGATCAAACTGGGCCTAGTTTAGTAATTTGGCCATAACTTCCTCATTATTCATCGGAATTGGGCTTATAATATACCGTTGGAAAGCTCTTTTCAAGCCCTATCCAACTACACTATTATTGGACCCTTGTTATGTACCAAACTAAACTGGATTGGATATTTTCATAAAATAGAGTAGGTTTTCGAAAACAAAAAGAGTGATTTTTAATAAAAAAAAACTAACCGCAACACTAGACTTTCCACACTTTCACTTTGTTCGATTATGATTCGATGCGACAGGTATTCATCATTGGGTTTGGTTTTGGAGAAGTCAAAGTAGCGATAGGAACATAGAATGATTTAGAACGTTTTGCGATCCCAAATCATTCTTGTAACGCCGATACCTGCAAACTATCATAAGTTAAAACAGATAAGAGAGTTTAAGAAACGCGTACCTAGCACCGTCGAGCACACGTCTCTGGGGGTAACCGATTTGTTGCATTGTTGTTGTGACAACCTTCCACAAGCTAAGGAACGTTATCCTGCTGTTTTTGACGATCTTCCTCAAGCTATATGATACCGCCTGAAGACTGCTACGCTTGTAACCGCCTCCATTTCTGCTGTGATAGTCTTCTGCAATCTAGAGAATACTATCGAAGATTGCTTCGCTTGAAACGATCTTCTACCGCCTTGTGACCACCTTTCGCAAGCTAGGGAACATGATCGAAGATAACTTCGCTTGAAATCACCTGCAGTTGTTTGTGGCAACCCTCCGCAAGTAGGGAACGCTGTCAAAGATATCTTCTCTTGAAGTCATCTCCAGTGTTTGTGACAACCCTCCGCAAGCTAGGGAACGTTGTTGAAGATATCTTCGCTTGAAGTCATCTCCAGTGGTTGCGATAATATTCCGAATAAAATTACCGAAGATCAACGATTGTCGATCCTTAAAAGCTCGCTTGAACTTTACTTCCGCTATGCTAGTACGTTGGCACTTTTGCTGCTTGTGAACCATTATGTCGGTGCCTCTGCTGTTTATGAACCATTACGTCGGTGCCTTTAATGAGCCAG